GGGCAAAAAAATAGTCTCTCATTTGGGAAATTTGGATTAATTTAAGGACGCTCGTGACATTTTTCAAAATATCTCTCTCCTTCTCATGTAATGATGTTCCTGCGTAAAGTGACTCTAGATGATGCAGCCGTAAATTTTAAGAGGAGCAAGAATGTAACAGAACCTAAGGCTTTCAGTGTATTTTTCGAAGGATATACACTATTCTCATTTCAGGCGTCAAGACTTTAGTTTCAGGTGCATCATGCGCATTGCGCCCAGCAAAGCTGTGTGGAATTTCAGCTGGCGCCACCATCGAAATCCCACTTAAATTATTTCACATTCATTTCTATCAAGTGTAATTTTCAGTGAAGCAAGTTAGATTTTATCAGATCTAAAGCAAATGAATTAAGGAGTGAAGTTGCAATCGAAAATATGGTGGGATTCAATCAGGTGGAAAGCGCGCTATTGCCCTCATTTCGTAACTGAAACTTCCGTCCGAAACATGACTCCATCGCTGTTAACCGAACCGCGAAAAACTCGAAGGAAGCACGCTCATAATAAAATTAATAAACGAGTTAAAATCATAAAAACTCCAAAAAGAAGGGATAGCCGGCCGGCGGAGCATCGTCTACATCCAAATCCTACGGAGTGAAAGCGCTGAAAAATTTGCCTTTTGATCAAAGGGCCTTAGGCATCATTGTCGATTTGATCGACCCACAGTGGATCGATTCAATTAGAGAAGTCGGACATGACTTTTTTGACTAAAACTGCAAATGTTGATGTTTATTTTGTCACATTTTCAATTTCAAGGGGTGTTTATGGTAGTAAATTTCACGCAGAAACCGATAGACTCACTTTTAGAAACTCAAAGTTGTGTATAAACGGAGCTACAAGCGTTTAAATTTTTTTTCGGAGCCTTTCCATTTTCACTCGCGACCGATCGCGACCCGCCCGGTCGCGTGGTGGTCGAGAAGATTTTGGCACCCCTGCAACTTGATCCGATTGAAAAATACTAACGTGAAGCGATCGACACAGTATCGATCGACACTGATTCGATCGATTCACTTGCTTGTCGACCCATTTACGTATTCGTCAACCCCTTCACATATTCTTCGATCAATTCTCGGGTTTGTCGATGGATTTCCGGCTTTGTCGATAGCTTCACAAGTTCGTCGACTCATTCACGTATTTTTCGACCCATGCATCATGCAAGTACTTGCCCATCGATTCACGGGCTTGTCGATTCATCCACGGGTTTGTTGTCGAACGCTTCACGGATTTGTCGATGGATTTATGGATTTGTTGTTTGATTAACAAGTTTGTCGATCGATTCTCGGAGTTTTCGACGGTTTTGTCGACCCATTCCCGTATTTGTTGACCCATTTACATATTTTTCGTCCCATTCACGTACCTGTCGATTATCCATCGGTTCATTGTCGACCCCTTCACATATTTGTCGATGGATTCACGGATTTGTTGATACGTTAACGAGTTTGTCGATCGATTCAAGGAGATTTCGACGGGGTCGTCGACCCATTCACGTATTTTTCGTCCCATCACGTATTCGTCGATTTATTCCCGGGTTTGTCGATCGATTCACAGTTTTCGATCGAATCGAAGTCGATCGAGTCGCAGTTTTCGATCCAATTGGAATCGATCGAGTCGCCGTCGATCGCTTCTCGTCGATCGAATTGACACCCTCCTCCACCCACTCGAGCGGCGTTCCTGCAGGCCGATTATTGAATCTGATTGACAAAGCTATAGACAAAGATGACAAAAAGGATTTGGAGGGATCCTATTGGTGGAAGCGGGTAGTGGCAATGGACATATAGGAGGTAGGTAGTGGACTAACTAACGGCAACCCACCAAAGACCCGACAGTTAGTCTATAAGAACCAACCATGTCAACCAATAAGATCGCTTTATACTCCCTATGTCTTCTTTGTCTATCGCTTCGTCTATCAGTCTCAATAATCGGCCCGCTGTAGTGAGTTATCCTCACGGAGCCTCCGAAGACAATCCACAGCCAAGCAAGGATGAAAAATCGGGTGAAAGCGAGGAAAACTTGACAGCAGCGACTCCCGGAGAGCCCGGGGACGGGGCGGGGGGAGGTGGGGGGTGGGCCNGCAGGGGGTGGGGGCGGAGTGGGGGTGGAATCGGGAGCGTCGCCGCCGTCGTCGTCGGGGGGCCCCGAGAGCGGAGCCGAAAAAGACGGGCGTCGTCGTCGTCATGGCGAGAGGACGAGGACTCGGGAGATCCCTCGGTCGGGAGTCGGGACCGATGAAAAACGGTTCATTTACGTCATATCCAAGTCGACATCATGACTCGGAGGCTGCGCCGGGCCGGGGCCGGGGGAGGCGCAGGGGGTGCGGTCGGGCTCCGCTCCGGCTTCGGGTTGCTGCAACCGCATTGGAAACGTGGATACGGCCGCGGCTCCGATGCCGATCAAGTGGTGAACTCGAGCGCCACCTCGCGCCGCACAGTGGAACCAGTCCTGCGGGCCGATTATTGAAATTGATGGACAAAGTTATAGACAAAGAAGACATAGGTAGTACGGAGCGATCCTATTGGTTGACATGGGTGGTTCCTATAGACGAAGAAAGAAAATGATAGACTAACAGTCGGGTCTCTCGCGAGTTGCCGTTAGTTAGTCTATTACCTACCTCCTTTGTCCATTGCAACCACCCGCTTCCACCAATAGGCTCTCTACATATCTCTTTTGTCTCCTTTGTCTATAGCTTTGTCTATTAATTTCAATAATCGGCCTGCAGGGGAGAGACGGAGAGAGAGGTCGGACGAGTAGAGGTACCGGTTTCGGTGATCTGAAAACCTGGGAAAGTCCGGTAGGGACAGGGAGTTCTCTGGAAAGATTAGGGAGCCCGGGGATTTCTCGGAAAAATCGAAGGGGTTTTTTTTTTCAATTTTTAAGGTGGGGGAAGCAAGGAAAGTCAAGGAAGACTGAAGGAAATACGAGGAAAGTCAGGGAAAAACTTTAGAGGAGCAAAAAACAGTTGGGAGAAAGGCAGGGGAAAGCAAAGAAAAGTCAGGGAGGCAGGGAGTTTATGGCGACCTGGAAAAATCAGAGAAAAACCGGGGATTCCGCGAAAAAATCGAAGGGGAAGTTTCGTTTCAACTTTTCGAGGTCGGGGGAAGCGAGAAAGTCAAGGAAGAATCAAGAAATTACGAAGGAAGCCAGGGAAAAATCTTGGAGAAGCAAGAAAGTTTGGAAAAATGCAAGAAAAAGCAAAGAAGGTCCAGGAAGAATCAGGAAAACACCAAGAAAGTTAGGTAAGAAGCAGGAACAAGCAAATGAAATCAAGAAAAAATCCGGGAATAACGATGGAAGTCACGGAAAAGTCATGTAAAAACCATAGAAAGTCAGGAAGAAGGCAGGTAAAAGTCAAGGAAATCAGAGAAAAGACAAGGAAAATGAAGGAAAGTTAGGGGATAGCAATGAAAGGCAGAGTTGCAGGAAATTTTGAAAAGTTTCCGAGGTAACCATTAGAAGTACTCGTAAATTACTACGTTTTGTACTAACGATCCTATCATTTCAAAATCAAATCCGGCCTCTCCCGCTGACTCGCTCCACTGTGCGCCACAGAGCAACCACCAACCAACCGCTGACCAGGACCAAGGATGCTGCGCCGGCGTTAAATGTTGCCAAGTCGAACGTACTATAGGGTACCCATCACCTTAAGAACTCTGATGAGAGACAGATGGATCAAGTTTAGTTACCCTTATGAGCTTTTAACTATTCATCGCTTCTAGTCTTAAGTTGGCTGCAGGTGCTAGGCACGAAGCCAATAAACCATAAGCAAAAAAAAAAAAAAGAAAAGGAAAGGACAAGAAAAAAAATTAGTCGAGAGGAATAAATTCAATATTCTTCCCCCCCTTTTAGAAACAAGGGGTCTGCTGATCATCTAAATCAAGTAAAAAAAAGTTCGAAAAAATAATGATTCTCAATGTTTGGTCGACTTTTTTGGCCAGATGTGAGAAACTTTTTAAAAAAAAAAAAAAAAAAAAAAAAAAAAAAAAAAAAAAAAAAAAAAAGACTTTGATCCAATTATATTTTAGTCTTTCTCGCGCAAGTTTACAAATCGTAAACTTTCGATTCATCGAATTTACTTTACTTTGACATCGGTGTCTTTTATTTTGGATCCCAGTCGTATGTATCGATAAAAAGATAGTTGTTCCCTCTGCGATATATAAGTGGAGTCTTCCAAACATCAACGGAAGTACGGGGTTGCTCGTGGGGGAGGGAGGGGGGCGTGCCCCTCCCAAAGATACGCCACGAGAGATACGTCATGCCAGAAAGTTTGAATGGAAGGCGGAGGGAGGGTGCCCTCTCAGACGGAGCAGTGGTATGATTCTCCGAAACCTTATTTCGTTTGAAAAGAAGTCTTCCTTCACTTATGCTCACAATAATGTTGTTTCGCATCATTGCACTAAGTAATTTTACTCTCAGCGAGCTTTTGAGCAGAAAACGGCGATGACATGACGGTAGTAAAATTCCCTCTGAAGTTTGAAACATTTGATGAATTTTCCGGGGTTTTCTTAGCTTTCCATTCATAAGTAAGGGGCTTGGAGTTAGTGCAGTTTTTAAAAAAAATTGAGGCTTTATGATTTCAACTAAAAATTGTCTTGAAATATATTTAATGAAAAAAAATCAGTTCTAAAATCCAATTTTTAAGCATCTAAAAGTGAGTTTGAACTTTCTTTCCGCCATCCCCGTGTAATTTTGAAACTTTAAGTGAACACGCATTATCTTGAAACAGCCATAGCTGCACTTTTGCGCTGTCCTCCAAGCCCCTCAATTAATCTAGAAGCATTTCATTTGATAACCCCTTTCTCTTATCAGATAATCTACGATGTACCCTCATACCATTCAATAGACCCCTCCGTGTCATCGCGTCGGCCTCAGCAGCCCATGAGTATTTTTTGAAATGCGCGCCGTTATGAAACTAATCATCTTGGCAACCCTGTAATTCCTGCGCATTCGGGAGACGAAACAAAACAAACAACAAAAGTAACAACAGTATCGAGAATCTCATCTTGCCTACCGTTCGTCAGTCTCGCTCAGTTTTTGAATCTCAATGCATTATCTTTATGGAAATGAATAATTCAGTGCGATTTTATTGTTTTTCGTGTGTTTTCGTGTGAAAATACTCATCTGTGTCGAGTCATAGTCTGTGTCCCATTTTTATTTTGTCGCGTGATAATGGGATTGAATCCTAATCTAACCCCCCCTAGACGAGCTGTTTACTTTCTCGGCTATCAACCGAAAATTCAAATTCTAGTCAATTTATCAACCGATTCTCGTTTTCTTCAGTAATCGGTTCACAGAACTCTTTCATTACTGCAGTTTTTCACTAATGATGATCTCATATCGCGCATTCGTCGGTGTTTTGTGTTCTCTGACCGTGTCAAATTTGTTGGATAAATGGTGTCTGTGTCTGTTCTCCCCACGTCTTCCCACTATAGTCTCGGTGATATAATTTCTTCCTAGGGATTTAAGAACATCTGTGATAATGTTTCAATGCATAATCCAGCAACGAAACGGTTGGATTAAAAACAGCCCGGAACTGAAGGATGTTTTTCCAGGTCTGTTTATTTCACGTATACAAGGATGAGAGCATGTGTTCGTCATCTGTTTCGGTGTTGATCCATTTCCTTCTTTCTCTCTTCAGGCATTGTGATGATGCTGTAATCATGTAGGAAAAGTAATTTTTAAATTTCAACAACATATATAGGATCAATCACAAAATCCAATGTCAAACTGAAGTTTAATTTACAATAAACAGAAGATGAAGAGTAGAGGGCGATAGCGATTTAACTTTTGAAGCAATCGTGTTCATACTTCGTGTAATTGGGTACAGCTTGGTTTGTAAATATCTCATAAATGGTGAATCCATTAACATAAAACATAATATTATTGTTGAAAATATAACATGCCCCAAAAATAAGCTGGAAATTTAGTTTTCTGTCAACGAAAAAGCTGATCGAGTGACTGGACACCAAACAATCCTTAACTGTAATCATCTTCTGCTTTTTCTGTACGACAAGGATCCTAGTTTCATTCCCCAGAACATAGAAAGAGTCAGATAATCATGCCTTGTTTTAGCACTCCAAGAAAGTATGTACGTAAAAATTTAAAGAAAATATGAGGAAGTGCCTTTACATCATGTTTTGCTCTATCCCAAAATTATATTTTTCAAAAAATATAATTTTCTGTGCATTACTTGCCAGGGTCAAGTATTTGCCAAATCATTCAGCTTACTCTTGGAGTACTATAGAACTTCTGTTAGTTTCACCCAATTTTTAGCAACAGGTTAGGAAAGTAGGAAAGGAAAGCTGCAAATACATCGTTGAAGATGCATATCCAGTTCATATCAGAGTACTGTCCCATCTTAGGACCCAATAATTATCAAGAAAAATTGAGAACTAAGTAAACTTAACGAAAACTTAGGGAAAGAATGAGCAAGAAGGAAATGATAAGTAAGTAAAGGTATAATGAAACAAAATAGTTAAAGGATATGTTAAAAAGTAACCATAACTTGATAAAATATAAATTTTTATTTCCATTCCTTGGATGTCACTTAAATGGGTTCATTTGTGAATCAAAACAAATTTCTGAGGGATTGAAGGTAGACTTAAAAAACAGCAAAAATGTCAATAATCATGATTTAGGATCACTGTTTACATGCCCCTTGAGTTCAATTCAGAAAATTCCGAAATCTAATTAATACAGGTGATTCACGCATCAAGTTTTGTCTACTCTTGAGAGGTCCAGGTTGATAAGGGCCTGGTCCCTTTCAATCTAATTTTTATGTCCTGAATATACTCAGATTTGAAGAGATTAAATTTTAGTTCAGTGACTTAATCACCTTTTTTCTCTCAGAAGTAATTTGGATACATGAATCACGAATTAGTAGAAATGCTCAAAGAAGAGTTTCATTTCCTTTCATAATCTGTCCTGCAAACTTTCTAGGAATAGTTAAGCTCTTTCATGCGTGGTGATTACATCATCACAACTCTCTATTTTTCTCCTAATCTCCGAGTTCGCTGATAAGAATTCCTTTGATGTGGATTAAACCGAATTCGGCATCAACAAAGAGAGGATGAGATTAGCATGAAAATAGACCTCAGACTTTTCACAATTCTTTTCTAGAAAGTTTTGCAAGTCATTGAAGGTAGGAATTTTCCTCAAAATAAATTCAGACTAAATGAGCTGAAAATTGTTACTCGAGTTTTCTCATTTCCCAGACTGCGTGGTTTATTCTTATCGTTGCTGGTATCTTGATCTGTTTCCTGTGTAATTAATTTTAATCGTGCCTGCCTTTAACTTGAATTACATTCTTGATAAGCATGTATCTCTCTGCAAGTCAGCAGTTGATACCTAGTTTTATCAGAGAGCTTGCCACATTGCTTACTGTAATTTTTCTATGTCATTTAAATGACTTAAATATTACCTCCACTGTGACAATGGAGTTCTTTATTTCATTCATTCTTGTCTCAAGGGTCTAGACTATTGAGAGTTATCAATGAATTGCGTCTTTGCTAGTATATGCCAATCTTCATTGAAGGGTGTTTTCTTATATAATCATCTCTTCAATTATCTTAGAATTTTTGCAATAGACATTTTTAAATTTGAATAAAAATAATATGGCCTTTTGTAACCATGCATAAGGCTGACTTAGTATTTTGGAGTCAGCATCCAACTTCGTTGACTCTTGAGTTCCTAATTTCCAATAACAAAGTCAAGGTACCTCCGAGTTTCATCTCCGTCCAAAGATTAGCATTTTTTGTTCATGTTTAAAATTAATCATTCATTTACTCATTCATGCATACCACAAATTCAAAGGCACTTGTTGCCAGGGTCAATGACTTCTGGGCTTTCTTTATCAAGTTGTTTAACTTGGATGTAGAAGTATTGTTGACACTGAAGCTCAAGAACTGTGGCTTATCTCATCATAGACTGTTTGGCTGCAGTAATTGTGTTTAACACTTTTTTCTGCCAGGAAATATCGGTATTTTCTCAAAAGCAGAGATTAAGTTTGGGAACTTTCTATTTTGGTACCTCACTTTTTCACAAGGTTTCCCACCTCATTCGGGCCTTATTTTACAATATTTAAGGTGATCGATACTACGGTTAATTTGGTTTCTTCTCTCTATTCACAGCAAATATTTAAATCCCATGTCTTCTTGCTTTTGTTTCAGATATCCGATTGCAACTCCAGGAGCAACTACGATGTTTGGAAACACGAATGGACACACAAGTTTCGCTTGTGCTGGAGTTACAAGACTTTTTTCGGCGGCGAGCAGAGGTTGAACTGGACTACAGTAAAAATTTAGATAAGCTATTAAAAAACATTCAACTCAGGCATACAGAACAAAAACAGAAGTAAGTTTTTTTTTTTCTTTTATTATCTCAAATCTCAATTAGAATTCGATACTGTATCAGTAAATCCATTATTGTTTGCACATATTATGATTATCTGCCTTCATTCAGAATTTCAGTCATTGTTATTGCAGCTGTCATGCCGTAAATATTTCTGAATGGGTACTTTAACTTTGAAATATCATGACCTATTCATCTCTAAATTTTGCCAGAGTCCAGGCTTCTGCTTGACTCTCAACTTTGCTGAAATAAGAGCTTCTGCAGTGTGCTCAGAATATTCTCATATTGAAAGCTAAAGTAAAAAAAAATGCGTATCTCCAATAAACTGTTTCAAAACCTCAGATTATTTTTTATTTTTCTATGAGAATATGAAACAAATATTTTTTTCATGAATATTTTTTAGTGAGATAAGAAAATTTAAGGATAAATTGTCGGCTGGTTATCCTATAACTGAAAGAAATACTTACAGGGACGCACAATGAATTGAATCAATTAAAGATACCTACCTACTTCTTTTTTTTTTACCATTGATTTTATTTTTCTCAATGTTAGAATCTAGTTCTCAAAGAAGACTTAGAGTGGCTCAGGGAAAAAGTGAGTCTATGCTTTTACAGGTACTAATTATGTAAACTCGAGTAATTTTGCTCATCAAATAAAAAGATGAAAAAACATGTGGACAAACGACTTTTTAATGTCAAGTAAAATGTGTCCCTGGAAAGTTTTTCCTTGGGCTGCTGTATCAAACAATTTTTTTCAGTTAGAGAGTGCAGGCAGTGGGTTAACTGATTTATTTTGCTTTACTTGTTTTGAAAGGGCGTAAGTACCTTTTGAGATGAGCCTTGTTTTCTAGTTAGCTTCATACTTTCCAGGGCTAAGGGAAAAGTAGATATACTTCCATACATCAGACAAGTGATTTGTCGTTGAATGTGTCATTGGTGCCTGTTAAGTTGACCCCAAACTGCCAATAACATCCAAACAGTCCTAAAAGACAGTTTAGTACGAAATTATTCCAACATGTACTTGCACAAGTGGTAATAACTTTTTTTTCTCCAGGCGAGAACAATGGTCCATGTTTTCGAGCTACTCCTGCTGGCAGCAGCTGGTGACACAGACAAAAAATCTAAGTCACGATCATGCGGCTTTAAGCAAAGTTTACTCAACTCATCTTACCAGTAGGCTTTCACAAGTTATTGAAGACTTGCAACGAATATATAGACGGGTAAGCACGAAAATCTCTACACTTAATTTTTTTCTTTGAAATAGTTATCTAAAATGACAACCACATGCTCAATTTTAGAAAAAAGTTCAAAACTTTCTCCTAGTTTGATACCTGAAAATATTATACCCAAAAGTTTTATGCAATGGATCATTAAACAAAGTTTGGAATTAGGTATCTCATTGTGCATTCTGTAAAAAATTTATTGAAGAATACATTGAATTCATTACGAAATTCTAAACTAATCCTAGACGTGAAAAATTAGGGTTTTTTTACCTAAGATTACTTCAGCACCAAACAAATATTACTGTGGTTTACAATAGAATGCTTTTGAGTACTGAATGTTTCTTCATAACTTTGGAAGCACTATCTAGATGGAACAGCAGCAGAAAATACTGTACGTCTTTTTTTGAAAACTACAGTAATTTTCTTCCTGTGTGGAAAATACTCTGAAAATTTCAAGCAATGATGTTGGTCTGGTCTCATTTTAAAAATAAAATAGAAGTAAACAGTTGTTCAAGACTTGGCAGCCGAAGTACACATTTTTATAGTTTCTCAATCAATTTATCCTCGTAGAAAGGAACTTCGTGTGAAATCAAACTTTAGTCTCTTGCCGAAGGTAATTATTTGGTTTCTAGGTATGTCATAGTTGACCAACATAGATTTTGGTTATTTTTAAAGCAGACACTTAGTTCAAGTTTCATCACTCCTTCATAAAAAATACAAGTCCATTTAAAATTTTGAATGTCTTCTGTGTGACGTTATGATGAGGGAAATTCACTGTAAACTTTAATTTTTACTCTGTTCAGTAGTCTATCCAGATGATCGCACAATTCAACATAGTACCCAACTAATGTTTTGTAAAAAGTTATGAGAACAATTGAGGCGTTTCTTCATGAAAATTTTGTTCCTAGGTACCTGCAGAAAGATTTTTGTAAGCCTTTTTTTTTTAAAAAAAAATAAAATAAAATAAAATAAATGCACTGTTTTGCTGATTTCTCTTCAATTTGGTTTTGTGTTTCAGTGTCGAGAAATAGGATTAGAAATACATGAAGAAATTCTAAGGGTGCTCCACGAGTTGTACACTACAATGAAAACATATCAAGCCTACCAAACTGAATGCAAGCAGGCAGAAACAAAATTAAAATTAGCGGAAACTCAGCGACATAAAATCGAACAAAGTATACCCAAGGATAAGCTAGAGAAGTCTAAAAAATTTAGGATTATCGAAAAAGAAGTTCAAAAGGTAAGCTCAGACGTATATCGTATGAAATGTGTATCATGTGTTCATTTCTAATCAATTTTTTGCTGAATTTTTTTACACTGCAACCAGCAGACAAACTCCTACGCTGTTGTCAGGATTGTTAATTTATGTGAGTTTATTAGGTTATTAAGTTGTATACAGAGTTGGTGAAGTTTGTATAGTCTGTATCAAGTCAGCGATTTTTATGGCTTGTTTGTAAAAGTCCCTAAAAAGTATGAATTGCGGAAATCAGCACAATCTCTTCAATTGCAGTTTTTTTTTCATAGCAAAAAATCCCTAAGCAATAAAAAAAGTTTCAGGGTTGGAAATTCCCTCAAGGAGCAATGAAGCCTCCATTTTCGTGGAAATCATCAATAGGTATACCGTATACAATATAACTTCACTAAAATCTGTAAGAAAATAGTAAAAAGTTGGTGATTTGTATCTGGCTCGCTTAATACATACAATGATTGAACCAGTAGAAAACATTAATTGTATTTCAAGAATTTTGCTACTTTTTTTCTATCAAAATATCGAAAATTTTGTTGGAAATTCAGTAAAATTCTCTTGAAAAATAACAATAATGTCACCTGCACAAATAATCCTCCGATTTCATTTTTCAAAATGATGAAAGAAGCATACATAGAAACATGTGATATCGCATATCAAATTACATCGTTCCCTAATCTTATTATTGATACTCCATGAAGAATTGAATTTAAAATATTCCTTTTGTGCTCATAATAAGTTGTGAATTCTTTGTGTCTGTTCCAGCGTAAGAACAAATATTTCGATGCGAAGCTAAAAGCATTGAAAGCACGCAACGAATATATCTTAAATCTAGAAGCTTCCAATACGACAATCCACAAGTATTTTGTGGATGATCTGTCTGACTTAATAGATTGCATGGATTTTGGATTCCACCATTGCATTTCAAGAGCACTTTGTATGCATGTGTCATCTGAAGAAGGGCGAATCCGATCAATTCAACAGGGTGTTGATGCAATGAACTCTTGCATCTTGGGCATGGACTCAAGATTAGACAAACAAAAGTTCCTTGAATTCAACCACGCTGCTTTCATGATTCCTAAGAAATTCGAGTTTCAAGGCCAGAAAGATGAGGTACGGTCATATAGTTCTTTCGTTTTTCGAACAAAAGTAGATCTGTCAATATATTTAAAGATAAATTCATGAGATACAAACTAATCGATAAATCTTTTTGCGATGACAAACTTCTCGGAGGTCAATTTGCTTTCAATTTTGTATCTCATGAATTTATCTTCAAATATATTGGCAGATCTAATCTGGATCTCTATCGAGGCAGATCTCTATCTAGCTGGACTAACGGTTTGTATTTGAATGCTCCAGTGCTAAATTTGATGGGGAAATAATCACACGACGCCCACATGAGATACAAACTAATTGATAATTCTTTTTGCGATGACAAACTTCTTTAAAGTCAATTTGCTTTAAATTTTTTATCTCATGTAGGTGTTGTGTGATTAACTCCCCATCAAATTCAGTGCTGGAGCATCAAAATACCAACGTTTAGTCCAGCTTTGCTGTTTGTATTTGTTGCAAACAAATAAGAAACGGGTTTTTCATGGAAATTTACCTTTATAACTCGATAAATATTGCATTTTGATCTTAAAACAAATAGTTTTAACTAGGGTCGGCCTCTCTGCATTCCACATGCCCTAATTTTCTCTCATGTTTTTCTTCCCAACTGAAACCTCTACTACTTAACGCCTTTAAGGTGATTCGATGGACGCCATATTTTGTGTCAAAACAACATGCGATATATCCCATTCTTTGGTTCCATTCTTTCAGCTACTCATAATTTTCCTTGAATTTTGAGGTCGCATTTCTTTTGTCAAGGGACTAAAGAATTCACTTAAAAATTTTGACAAACAAATTCAACGTAATAAAGGCATGGTTTTTTTAGAGGGAAAATATCTCATTCGAGTGCAGTTTCAATATCAGTATCGAATGCAATATTTTTCCTCAAAAAACCGCGCCTTTATTAAGTTGAATTCGTCTGTCAAAATTAGTAAGTGAATTCTTTAGTCTCCTGGTAACAGAATTGTGATCTCAAAATTTAAAAAAAATGACAGGTAGTTGAGCAAATGGAACTCATCAATGCGATATATCGCATGTCGTTCTGAAACAAAATATGGAGTCCATCGAATCACCTTAAACGTCGAATGAACTGACCTTAGAGTATGAAGAATATCAACTCACATAATCTCAAGTTTTTAAGTTGCTGAGTGACCTGCTTAAAAACTAAAACATTGGAGAAAATTACGCAATATTTGAGCTGAAAGAAAGTGCCTGGAAAAAATTGCTAAGTCACCTTTATTTGCTTTCTAAATTGGGTTTGACTTTTGGAAAAACAGATTTTGCCGACAATGATTTCAATTGATGTCTTTTCAACCATCTGGTATTTCTTCAGCTGTCAGAGAATTTTACCAGAATACAATAGGGGAATGTCAGGGAATTTCTTTTTTTAAACTCTGTTGCAACCCTGTTCTCTTCCTTATCTGGAAGAAATGTTTTATTGAAATTAGCTCTGAGTGTTCCAAATATCTAAGAAGTATGTACTTTTTCCTCGGTGAAAGGAATGATTTCTAATTCAGTTTTATGGTAATTTTTGCAGTTAGCAGAACCAGAACTGCAACGATTGCTCTGTGCGGATATGGAGCATAGGTTGATTCAATTGAAACAGCGGCTGACGTCTCTTCGGACAGAATCAGACGAGGTTTGGAAAACATTAGAAACAGCTGAAAGTACTCTTTTAGATATGCTGACAGCAAAAGATTACAATTGTAGTGGTTACTTTGGAGAAAATGCTGTTCCTGCTAGCAAACCACCTGAAACTTTTTCCATCAAATTGCGAGCGGATAGGCATGAAACCGAGGAATTTTACCTAACTGTAAGTATTCAAGTTGAATGATCCTCAAAATCAATACATCACAATTTTCTTTCATTGTCTACTGATTTTTTTATTCCTTACTTATGATTTTTTATGTAAGTGGTCTACAACGAGAAAAAGAGAACTTGGTTCTGAACGATTTAAAATTGAAATGTTTGTGCTGCTGCTCAAAGGAGTATTTTACGAATGTGCTAGCATTTTAAATGTTCAAAATTAAGAAACCAAATTAGAGTATTGATGTTTTGAAATTTGAAATGCCTAGTCATCAGAAAAAACAGTTAAAGCTTAAATCGATCTGGCTTAACGCCTAAGATGGAGGGTATGGATTCAATCGACATGAATCGATCGAAAAATGAAAACGTGAATCGATCAACATGAATGGATCGAAAAATGAAAACGCTAAGCGATCGACGTGAATCGATCGACACTGATTCAATCGACAAAATTCGATCGATTCTCGGGTTTGTCGATCCACTCACGGGTTTGTTGATCCATTCACGGGTTTGTCGATCCATTCACTGGTCTGTCGATCCATTCACGGGTTTGTCGATCCATTCATGGGTTTGTCGATCCATTCACGGCTTTTGTCGATCGAGTCTCGGGTTTGTTGATCGATTCACGGGTTTGTCGATTGATTCACGGTTGTCGATCGAATCTGTGTTGATCGATTCACGTTTTCATTTTTCGATCCATTCATGTCGATCGAATCGATACGGGTGTTTTTAAATTAACTGTCGATCGATTCATGTCGATCGAATCACGTTTTAATTTTTCAATCGATTCATGTCGATCGAATCGACACCGGTTTTTTTAACAATGTGTCGATCGATTCATGTCGATCGATTCACGTTTTCTTTTTTCGATCGAATCCATACCCTCCCTTAAGATGATCACAATCAAAGCAAAGCGAGGCTTTTATGTCTTTCATTAGTACAAAAATGAACAAAATTGTTGACTGTATATTATCTAGAAATTAGAAAGGGTTCTTGTAATGAATGCAATTTTAGATTTTTTAACTCTACAGGACAAAAGTTAATGCTCTTTTTGATTAATTTCATCTCAGTTCAGTCTTACACCATCCCAGCAAATTAAGACATAAGACAAACTTCAAAAATCAATATTTTTTTAATTGATTCCTGTTTATTGTAATATTTATGTGTCTTTTCTTTGTTTTCTTTCAGAAATTACAAGAATACATCCTAGGATCCAGTAGAATAGCTCGACTCAATGCCAAGCACGAATACCTGCGGCAGACATTGATAGAAAACTCATCCATTGGTGCTAATAGTTCTCCGTCTTTGAATCATTCCATAAACAATGTAGATCTGTGTAAATCAGGAACAACCATGATTCCGCTTCTGCCACCATCGGTGAAACCTCAGAGGCGCAAGCGTATCGGCAGGTTCCAGATGAATGGTCAGCCAAAACTTTTCGGAGGTAGCCTTGAAGAATACGTGGAGTCCACCAATCAGGAAGTACCTCTCATCGTCAAGAGTTGTATACGAGTCATTAATCTTTTTGGTATGTTGCCCATGCTATCACAGTCTCTCATTTTACAATCTTGATCAATCGTGAACAAGCATTATCTTGCAAGGACTCAGTGTGTAACTGCATTTCAGACCATACATTTTCCTACGATCAGGGTGTCTACAGGTCACATATTCATATTACCTAAGTCTTATAATATCGCCATATTTCCATTTCAGTTGTGTAATAATGTGAAAGTCATTTAAAATTGCCATATTTTTGTTTCATCACTCAATTTCTGAGTCAAAATTCTCAGTCAACTTATGCGAGTATGCGACAATTTATCACTTTTAAAATGATCAAATTTAACATTTCTAATAAGAATGGATTGATTTTCATATTTGTTTTATAATTTGTATCTTTTGAAATCATTACTTCCAATCAGCATTGTTATAATGGTACGATGTTTCCTGCAGAAGCTATTTTTAATGGGAACTTGAAGCTTTTTTTTTTATTAGTCTCGTGGTCAAACTTATTTGCGAAAAATGGTCATCCAAAGTCACATAAAAGTGTCATATTTTTGTATTTGTTGGATTTCTGCAGACACCCTGAAGATAGAATTGTGCGCCATTATGCTGGTTATTCGAAGACTTTGACAGAATATTCCAGCTTTTGAGTCAGTTTAACTTGTTGGTTCAGTGTTACCACAAAGTTCAGCAGCAAAAAAAGAAAAACCAAAACGTTGCAAAGATTATGCAACTTGTTTTATATCGTGATAAGCAACAAGGGCATGCAGAAAATCTGAATGTTCTGAAATAATTTTCTGTTTTAGTCAATTTCTTACCATGTAAAAATAAAACCCGGCTAAAATTTTAACTTCTCTCGCAAAATTGAAGTAGCGTTGTTTCATCAGCCTTGCAATGTACTCAATTCTTGATATTAACGGATCAATGGATCAAATTTTAAACTGATTTTAACTATCTGGTTCTTTTAATTGAAATTTTTTTTTACCTTTTTGTGCTTCAGGTCTACATCATCAAGGAATTTTCAGGGTTTCCGGTTCTCAGGTAGAAATTAACAATTTCAAAGATGCATTTGAGCGAGGCGAGGATCCTCTTGCTGACATGACAGACGCATCAGATATTAACTCTGTCGCTGGTGTGCTTAAATTGTACCTGCGGGAACTGAGAGAGCCCTTGTTTCCAATCATTTACTTTGAACAGTTCATGGAACTTGCTCGTAAGTCATTTTTCGCTTTATTTTCTTAAACTAGGGTCAGAAGATTCAGGATCTGTGTTTGAATCGCAAATGAAAATGGCTATCAGACTCCTTCATAATAAACACTTTTCCATTCATTTCTCACAGAGAAATTAGAAACAAACTCTTGCAAATTGGTGTTTGAATATTTTCTGTGCCAATTATTTGGAGCTAAAATATGTACGTATTTGAAAAAATCAATTCTTGTTACTATGGGGATTTGGGTATCATTTGAACCAGGTTTAAAAAAATGCACCAAGTCAAATGAAGTTTGAACTATGACATAGAGGGTTAAAATTTTACGGCTCCTAAAGACATAATGATCAGGACAAAATTTAACGACTTTTATCTCATTCACAATGATTTTTTTGACCTTGAATTTTCAACAACAGAAAATTTACAACCAGTTTATTTCCAATCTTTCCCAACCCATTTTTTTAAAAAAAAGTAGGCTAGTGCTTTTCCATTAAACTCGTTCAATCTACTTTTTTTTATATGTCAAGAATGTTCTCCAAGCATTTTGCAAATAAATTATGAGTTGCTCCCTTCAAAGAAACAAAATATCAGCAAACATAAAAATGAATTTGAACAAAACTATCATTTTGTCTTGTTCTGTCTTAAAACACGCAACTGCAGTATGGTTTTTCGGCATGATCATGTGTAGGTTTTTTTTTGTCCTTCTTGATGCGATTTTACATGAAGTGACTAATAAGTTTTCCTTCTTTCTTTTTTCCATCTAGAACTGGAATCGAAGCATGAATTTATTCTTAAAATGAAAGATCTCATCGCAAGCTTGCCCCGGTCTGTTGTAATTGTCATGCGCTATATATTCGCCTTTCTAAACCAGTAAGTGCCTTTAAAATTTTTTAGTTAAAGTATTTTTTCTAACAGGCAATTTCATCCGTACGCTTCATTGGCATTGTGCAAGGGAGAAATAAAGAGTGCACTGTTATTTTACTCTCATCTTTTTCCATCCAAAATTACCTAATTTTATGTGCGGGCAAAATGAAAATGATTCCTGCGTACGCGAAAATAATTTCAGGCAGCTGAAGCTTTGAAGATCATCCTCAGAATGTCATCTGAGCAAAAAAGTCACAGATTTCAATTTGATCGTCTTTTCTCTGAAAACATTTAAATATAAATACATTTTGCACCAACACCACTACCAACCAATATAATCATTAAAATATTATCATTTTAATATTATTATTAAAAAATTACAGTTTATCGGAATATTCTGATGAGAACATGATGGATCCGTACAACTTAGCTATTTGTTTTGGCCCAACGCTCGTTCCTGTTCCGGAAGACAAAGACCAAGTCCAGTACCAAAACCAAGTCAACGAACTCATCAAAAACATCATCCTATTCCATGAAGATATCTTCCCTGGCAAAGAATTTAATGGACTTATGTATGAAAAATATATCTCTCGTGAACCTGATGATACGTAAGTGTTCCATTACGGAATTTGGAATTTTTTTACCTGGATTTCAGTTGCTCACCGCTAAAAGTCCTTCCTTGTTCTTGCAGCTTTTCTGCATGAACAAGAGATACCTAACATATCCAAAAGTTTCCAGGAATTAGAGGATTTTTAAACCCTATAACTAGTTCTATTCTAAATTTGGATCCTCTGAAGATACCGAAGTAGGAGTGATCTCATCAAAGAAAGGTCTAGAAAGCAAAAGGTCGCTTTAGGACAGGGTATGATGGACGTTATACAATCCAAGCTGTCTAAACTGCAAATATCTACCACAAAGTAAATCCCCAAGGTTTTGAAATTCGTCGAGATTGTCTTCAAAATGCTTGATAGAATCAAACAAGAAGACATTTCCTTCCGACAGGATGTCTTCAAAATGCTTGATAGAATCAAACAAGAAGACATTTTCTTCCGACAGGAAACCTATCCCCTTTATTGTTAATTTATGTTTATGACAGTAAATTTTTGAACATTAATTTTTTGTTTGTAAGTTGATGAAATTTTTGCTGATAAATGGTTGAGAAGTGAACTTTTTTCAGCAAAAGTGATAATTTGATGTATCAGCAGAAAGGAAAAAGAAGACACTAATGACAGAAATTGTACAGAAATTTTAAACAAACAAAAAATTCTATGGAAATAGATTACTCCACCAATTAAATTAGAGACTTAACAACATAGGTTGCTGTATTTTTTGACCGCTCCAAGTTAAATACAAGAAATTTCTTTATTTTTACATTATTTATTATTTAATATTTTAAAACCCCGCTCGGTCTTTCATTCTTTTTCTGGTTCATTTTAATTAATTTTATTCGTTTTAATTCTATTCGTTGGCTTACAGAGATGTTGGAGACTCTCCATCTGAACACATGGCTGAAGATATGGATTCAGAAATTTATCCGTCAGAAGATGGTGAGCTAGTTTTTCTATGTATAGTATTTTTTTACTTCATTTTTTACTTCATTTGCTTTGTAATTAGTCTTTCTCTTTTGCTCCCTTTTATGAGAGATTCTATTACTATGTCCTAAAAAGATTAGGAAATGAACAATTAAATTTGCCAAAATTGATAGAAATAAACATAGAGTCCCACTCCTAAGTAAAAAATTTGGTGTGGATGTTGAAAAATAAACCTTGTAAAGTTCTTCTCGTATGGTCACTGCTGTGGAGGTTACTCGTGGCCGCTAAAAGGCAATTCCATATACCGTATAGTACAGCAGCCGCACCGGCTAGTATACTAGAATTCACCTCAGACTATTGCTGTTAATCACTGTCATAATTATTGAAATCGTTGAATAATCAAAAGTCAGGAAAATATAAGGTTGATTTTTGCTCAATAGTACAATAATACTTAAGTACCACCACTAGTTAAAAAATTACTGTTAAAAATGTGTTCTAGTTTGGTCACACTACTCTCCAACTCTACCACTCCAACATTGACGAGATCGAATTTTATTGTGAAAACATCAAATTATCGTAGACATCGTTGCCAAATTTCCAATGGCTCAGAGTGGTTGCTTTAAAACAACGGGTTACAAGCAGTCATTACAACTTCTAAATGATTTTCCTTTCATGAGTTGTTTTACATATAATGTGCCTATTCCTTAACTTATCCTCCTTGTTGGCAGAAACAGAATCTCTTGAGGCCACAGCTCAGTTTGACTTTTGCGCAAGATCAGACAGGGAACTCAGCCTACGCAAAGGAGACTGTGTAACGCTTTTCACGCAAGTTTCAAATGATTGGTGGAAAGGCTCCGTCAATGGTCAACAGGGTCTCATACCGGACAAATACATATCCTTAAAAATGAAGTAAGTTCTGATATATTTTTCTCCTGATTTTGATCACGTATTTTTTTTTTTTTCTCATATAATATTTTTTTTTTGAGAAATCGAAGTATTTCTAGAGATTGGAAAATTTCGTTGCTGCGATTTGCAGCAAAATTTTTAAAATGTGCTTAGGAATCAGAAAACCAGACAGAAGCACCATTCATGACCTACTGATCAAGAAACTATACAGCAAAATCAGCCATTTTCCAGATTTAATGCGAAATTGTGCGGAATCATCTATATTTATCCGCAAAATCGCCAAAATCAGTACATTTTCATAACATTTGCGCTCAGACAAATTTGCTGAGCTTTTTTTCTTATTAAAAAAAATCGCAGAGTTGTTTTTGAGCATTGGTCGTCATTAGTCACTAGTTATCAATGTTCGCCAATGGCAACAACTGGGGCATAAATATAACCTCAAATAATTTTAACATGTGATCATGTGAGTAAACAGACACATATTGATAAAAAGTGCTTTTAAAAAGCTAGCAACAGATATTTTTTAATCAAGATAAAATTAATGCTCTCAAAGTGTTTTTATTAAATAGGACTAGAGAAAGAGAGACTGAACGATGGCTCGTTATAATCAAATTAAAAGCTTCATTTTAAGCTGTCAAACTCGAAGAGCGCTACAAAAATAACGGTGATTTCAGCACAAATAACAGCAAAATTTGAGAACAGTAAAATTGGGAATAAATAACAGCGAAATTTTCCCATCTTTAATCAGTAATTCATCAAGCACTAGAAAGAAATCCAGGCAGGAAATTTCAGAACATGTTTTTCATCTTATCAGTGGCATCAAACAAATCAATAATTTGGTGTTTTTTTTATTCCCCCCCCCCCCCAAATAAGTGTTAAAAGGTTTCTCTCAAAATTTGTTTGACCCCCAGTAAAACTCGCTGACTTATCAAGGGAAAGCACAGTGAAAATCACCTGTTCAATCTGTGCACTCCAACCTGAATACTAATATGTATTTCTGAAAATTAGATCACATTAAAGAAACTTTACTAAACTAAAGATTAGTAAAGTTTCTTTAATGTGATCTAATTTTCAGAAATACATATTAGTATTCAGGTTGGAGTGCACAGATTGAACAGGTGATTTTCACTGTGCTTTCCCTTGATAAGTCAGCGAGTTTTACTGGGGGTCAAACAAATTTTGAGAGAAACCTTTTAACACTTATTTGGGGGGGGGGGGGAATAAAAAAAACACCAAATTATTGATTTGTTTGATGCCACTGATAAGATGAAAAACATCTTATATTTTCATTAGTAAATTAAATTTACTTCATTTCTCTAGCTCATTGGTTGCTTTACCAATGAGCTAGAGAAATGAAGTAAATTTAATTTACTAATGAAAATATAAGAAGCCCAGAGAATTTAGGGAAAACCCCTCAAAACACAAAGAGTTATAGCACTTCATAACACTTTTTATCAAAAATTTTAAGATTTTCTCGTGTGAATAGTTTTAATGCTGAATTTTGTCAACTATTTCGGACCTAATTAAAGAAGAAAATGTAAAAAATTTTAGAGAAACTAAGGAAATTTGTAATGTTTACAATTTAATGAATCCCAAAACCAAATGATGAAATACATGAAATTTTTATCGTCAAATCGCTCATAAAATTGGACTTTCAACTCTGTAATAAGAGGAAAACAAATGACGGGTGAACTTTGTAAGCAAATTTCATAACGCAAAATGGTCTGTTTCAGAGATGAGGACAAAGAGAAATTCGAGCTTCTGAAATCGAGTTCCTCAGACGAATCAGTGCGGCGGAGAGCGTCCAGTTCCAATGACTCAGTGCTGTCAGCAACATCTGCATCTGGGTCGCATTCACCTTCGATCGAATCGCATTCGAGCAAATCTCAAGTCGTGATCATGATGGAGGCATCTCAGGAGGTACTTGAAACCACTGTATAAACCCTCCTCCCTCCTCCCCATGTTTGTGATGAGCCTTGCTTTTAGTCGTTGTTTATAGTTGTTATGTGTTCACCATAAGCTTTGTGACTCCCCAATTGTTGTGTATATGTTTCATAGTGCATAGTCTGTATACGTACTATTTTTTATGTATCCTACTTGTATTAAACTCTCGTCTTTTTTTCCTTTTTTAAACTGCCTGTTTTTTTGTTTTTTCGTTCATTTTGTTTGTTGCAACTTTTCGTAGTTTGTCTGCAGGCAAACGTAGCTTTTGCATGCATCAAGGATTTGCGATCGAAGTAAACTTTTGTAAAATTTTACAAGAAACATGATAATGTCACCGGTTTTCTCTGAAACGAACTTCGAAGCTCCAAAAAAGCTCTCAAAAGTTGAGGCTGTAATGGAGGGGATATCCTACACTACAATGACAGTCCACTTCCGTATCCGGTCAAACATTCCATGCACAGATAGGGATCAAATATATCAGCAGGGTTGCCATTTTATGTCAGGACTCTGAGGTTGGGCCATTTTATGTCAGGACTCTGAGGTTGGGCCATTTTATGTCAGGACTCTGAGGTTGGGCCATTTTCTGTTAGGACTCTGAGGTTGGAACCATGGCAACCCTGCTGATGTATTCGCTCCTTTCCTGCGCATAGAGAGTTTGATTAGATACAGAAGTAGACTCTCTGTGTAGCACGGGGATCCTCTCCATTACGGCTTCAACTTTAAGAGCTTTTTTTTAGCTTCAGAGTTCATTTCAAAGAAGACTAAAAGCATTATTGTGTTCGTCGCCAAATTTTACATAAGAAATGTACTTAGTTCGCAAATTCCTGTCGCATACAAGAGTTCCATTGATGGAACCAACATCCTCCATCTTTGTTTGCATCGTAAACAGTATCCCTCCAATATCCCCCCAACCTGATGCTGATCACCGTTCCAGACAAAAGCATGCGTTTATGTTCTTAACCGTTCATGTAACATTTTCCTTGCTATGAGTTTCAAATAACAGCTTTTTCGCTCACACTAGACTGATCGTGCAGACCGGATCATGTGTTTTTGATTCATCCAGCCTAAATTTCAAGCATTTTTTACCAGCATCTGACTGCATTTTATGGAAACTTCAGCTCAAGTTATGCAAAAATTTCAGTTCGGTCTAAAATTGAATTGCAAGTTAAAAGAAGGTAACTGCTTGAGCATAACGCACACTTCAGTCATTTTATTATCAGGTGGTCGAAATAACTATCTACGCTTTAAAGAATTACATTGTTTGATGTCATGCAAATAAGAGAGGCTAAAGTCCTGTTAATGGAATTTTTGTAGGATAGTGTAATGTTCATTAAATTTCCGAACATGATAAAGTAGCTGATAAATTTTAAGGCTTCTATCCCCATCAATGATGCAAGGTATGTAAATGCAAATCAAGTTGAAGCTGGGCATTATTTCAATTGATGGCGAACTTGTTCAATTATGCGATGAACTATAAGTTACATCACTCCCTAAAATTGACCTCTGTATTAAAACATGTTTAAAATACAGACTTAATTTTTGAAAATCAGGTTATGACTGTAGCAGAAATTGCTTCATTATTTGATTTATTCTGTTGAATCAGCTCGTGTGGAAACACTACGAGTGGATGGTCAAAAAACAAACTTTTACGGGAATTGCTTTAACTGTAGATGCCCTCGAATTAAGGATGAGAGAACTCAATAAGTAATTAATGAGTTAGTCAAGTCAATTTTCCTCAATGCGCCTTTAGAAAATATTAAGTGATCTGAGCTTACATTTACGCTTTCGATTTATTTTGATGACAGCAACTAGGAGGAGAATTAAAGCTTAAGTGAAATCTAGAGTTGAATCCAAGTAAAATTTAAAGTCCAGTTTTTCATCCTGTCTCTTTGAAAATATGGCCACCTTGGATCAAGGCCTCACTTCCTCTGGTTGGATTCAAGAATGGAAGTGCAAAAGTAGTAAAAGTTCTGAATGCTGAACATTTTATGCGATCAGGAAAATCTTTCTTCACTTTTCAAAAATTGTTCTCACCAATTTTGTCCCTCATAAATTTATTTATCAAGCATTTCACGTGCCCCTGTGCAAGTCTGAACAAAGATCTCCTCTTGTGATCAATCCTTACCATGCTATTACATGTAGCCGCATGCTCCTGAAGACTGTTCTTTTTTATTCAAATTTATTGTGCATCCATTCGCCTGTTTGTGATTTTCCACCCCCTTTCCCACAGAAAAGGATGAAGGTAAGTGATATTCATTACTATTTAGTCATCCAAGAGACAAAAGAGGCACTTTGTTGACTTCAACAGTAATGAAGAAACATACATCAGCAGCAGGCAGGATATTGATAGCCGAAGTTCGAAACCAAGTACCCACATTGCAGTGTCTCAAAATTTCTGCTCCTCTTTTATTTTTTCAAAAAGAAACAAGCCAATTTTATAGCTTGAATTTTGTATAGAATATTCTGCTGACAGGAGAAGAAAAATCAAGAAAGTGTTCAAGAAATTATGTTTACTAGTTTTCCGAAGAAAGAATAAAGTATGACAAGAATTCTGCAACGTCCTAAACGGAAGTACGTGGTTTCCTACTTTGCCCATGGATGTATGTTTGTAAGACAGTCTAGGAAAACGGGACTTAAAAAGGATGAGGGATAAAATTTGACTGAGCCATCTTTCACCGTGCACATAGATCGATTCTGCATAGTTTCCCCGCTAATTAAATCGTAAATTATGATTCAATTATTACAGTGTCCTTCACAGAGAAATATGCAGAACTGTTTTCTGTAAGTACAGAAATATGGTTTAGTCGAATTTTTCTCTCTCATTGTTAGAACCTCTTCGGGCAATCATGCAGAACTTTTGATAAGACAGAATTTTTAAAAAAATGCACCAAGTCAGGTCAAGTTTGAACGGAAGGAAAGAGGTTTTAGCCCTCCATGAAACTCAGTACAAGGGACGAAAATTGACCACTATTTTAACGTTCCGAACATTTTGTCTTTACCTCGAATCCCTGACAGAGAAAAATTTTTGTTCTGTTGGACTTGAAACCACTTCCAACTAATTTTCTTTCAAATTGTGACTTGGTGCGTTTTAATTAAAATCTAGTCAAAGTCTAAAAGGTTTTGGTACCTGAGGGTCCCTTCTTTGGAGGTAGTTCATCCTTCTAAAGCTATAAACGATCTGTCTTAAGGTTTTTGCCTAATTATTCTCGGTATTTTTTTTATTGGTTTAATCGTCATGGTCAAATGGTTGGTGACTGATAGTGGAAATTCTTATAAAAATAACATATATTTATAAATTAAAGCTCTGTTCCTTAATCAGTGAATTTTCTGCGGTAAAAAACTTAACCAATCTGATGATCCCTGCAACCTAGATTTTGTTAATAATGAACTTATTTATATTCGTTTTTGGATTGATTTGAATGTCTTAATATATCCTGTTTACACAGTGCATGACATCATCCAATTAAAACCATGTTTCTCCAGGTCATGCCACATAAAGCATGATTGTTTCTTTTTTGTTTTTTTTGTTTGCGTGTGTTTTGATGTTATTAGTTTGGTTTTTCTTTGTTTTTCCCTCCAGCTCAAAGACCCAATCTTGGGCATCGCTAATACTTGAAACCCCCGTCAGTAAAGGCATGCGGTGACTCTTGATTAATTACTCTGGTAAGTTGTCTTTTCCGTCCGGTAAGTAGGATTTAAATGCTCACAGCACATGCCTGACAGACCTTTGCATTTGTCCAGAGAGCTTTACGATTGCTTAAATATTTTGACCAAAATTATGACCCAAGTAGCACAGTGCCTTGAAATTATTGAAACAATTTTTAAATTTAATGCAGTAAAATTGCAATTTTTTACCATTAAATTGCAATAATTTTACATCACTTGAGCAATAAATGCTCAAATTAAACGATGAGTGAGTGAAATAAGAAACGCAAGACCTTTTGCAATGCAAAAAAAATGCGACTTGAGTATGGAATCATGATCATAATTGTTCTTCTCTCCTCCAATTTTTGTCCTAATTTGAGGAGCCTGACATTATTATAAGGAGAGAAGGAATCTAGAAGTGCTCTTAAGGGACGTGACAAGGAGAAAGAGAGGTGGGTATAATCAGAAGAAAAAATTGCCCAATGTATTACGGACAGCGTTAAAGGTATAAAGGCCCAGGAAACTAAAGTTTGAAGGACTGCTTAGTCATGACCGTACAAGAAAAGTGTATACGCGCTAAATATACTTCTTCATCTAAGCTTCAATGGTTATTATCTTAATTTTCAGCTCGTCTGTAAGGTCATAAGAGTAATTTATCATAAACTCACCACAAGCTGTTGCGCATTAAAAAGGACACTTCGGACTTAAATGAACATACTTAAACATACTACTATAAAGATTACTTTTGCAATACGAATGAAGGTGCTATCGCCGAAAAATGATTTGAGGTCTCTTTCCCTTTGAAAAATTAAGGTTTGTATGTTATTGTTACAGGATTCAAACGCAGAAGTTCCAATTGTATCTCTGGAGGAGACAGATGTTCCCGAAACAGTCGACATCGCTCAATCTGAAGTTGCTGAAAGTGGGATGATCAAGCCTGCCGTTGCACTGTCTACAGAATCACCAGCCGGAGACATCGACAAATCGGATCCTAGCGCGCACCCAGAAACCGAGTCTCCTTCTCTAGGAGACCATTCATCTGATGAGCAAATGAAAGAAATCTGTGATATTCGGCAGAAGCACACACCTGATTTGGTGATGGATTTGCCGTTCGTAAGTGTAACTAGCAGCAGTCCGAAATATGAATCAAGTCCTGTGGGCGGACCCGAGAGTCCGGATATGTCGACTGTCGCAGACCGCTTTGCAAAGCAAAATCAGTGTACATTGAAAAAGAACACGAAAGCGCACAGCTCCAATTCCGAATCAATCAATGTAGATCCCGGTGCTGAACTGTGCACAGAGGGCTCAGAAACCAAGGAAAGCATACGACCTGAACCTATGAAGAAACCTATGGTGGGGAACAAACCGAAAATAATGGCTAAGCCTCAAATCTTGAAGAAGCCTTTCTCCTCGTCTCTAGGAATTAAGAAAGACTGCTGAATTAAAATTTCAGTCAACATGGACCGTAAAAATGTTTTCAATCTCTATAAACAGGTGAGCGTTGAGAACAGACAAAGGAAGTTTTTTTTCTTTTGTATCAAGCAAATCAGTGTTCTATTTTGCATGTGGAACTGTTTTTGATCAAAAGTTTTCTCCCACTCGAGATGCTTTAAAAGCCAAAGAATATTACGCATGTGTTCAGTTTTTATTTAAAATTCAATTCAACCTCACCGCTCCAAATTACGAGCACACATTGTAAGTAACTAATTTTGTAGTTATATTTTCTATTAGATTTTTTAATTATTACCCCTCTCAAATTCAGAACAATTTTTTTGATTAGTTTATTTTTACATTTTAAACTGGTGAAACAAACTTCACACAAGAAATTATTTTCCTACCTTTGATGTGAGAATATCATATTTTTTATGCAATAATTTAGTCCCTTCGGTCTACTTACTATCTTTTTTGTCATTTTTTAGTTACTCAACACCCAATTTTAAGTTCTCCTCAAGTTCTTGAGGAAATTTGTGATATTCGAATATAAAATTCTTATCAGAGGTGATTCTGATTAAAAAACAAAAGTATACAGATTGTGAAACCTGGCTGAAAACCATGAGTGCAAAATAATACCAACAGGTTTCTTAGGGTAGGCACTTACAATCAAACCCTGCTTATCTGATTATTTGCGGATAGGACCGTATTGGATTTCTATGAAGTCAAATCAGTGAAACCACCAAAGATAAGACAAAAAATAATGTCACTTCAGGCTCTGTTTGTATGCAAAAAGCACTAACTCAGCCAATCGTATTTGTAATACATATAGTCATCTAATTGGAACTGAGTACACATACTTTCTTTTTCAGTTCTTGCCAAAGAAACCAGTTTTCTTCGTGTCAACTAACTTGTTTTTAATTGGAGGCTTAATTTTGACTACTCCAGATAACTGAAGTGTCGGATAATTTTTTACAATAAGGATCCACTATCTCTGGCTCTTCTATAAAAGCACATATCTGCATAGAGAAATCAATGGCATGTATGTTGTTTCTAAAATGGGCCAGAAATAGTGGTTCCTTATTGCAAAATGTAATCAAATTGATAGTTAGATTATTGGGGTATTGCTGTATTTTCTTACTCTGACATGAGGCTGATCCATTCTTTTTTGACTCTCCATTTATCGATTGTAACCTACACAGTAGAAAATACTGGCGAATCAGTAGCCTGACCAAACTCTCTACCATTCACACAAATGTGAGACTTGGACTTTCGCTCGTTTGAATGAAAATGTTTAAAGACAGTGAACAGTATTTTCCAGATTGATTAATTTTCCTTATTTGAAATGTTGCTAATAAATATGGAAGCAAAAAAAAAAATGAGATTCATTTTTAATTAGATATCTACCAGTTTAAATTTAATCGATTTGCGATAAAAAAATGGATTTAAATACATCACATGTTGATAAATGCTAAGTTTTGAAAGTCACTGATGTCATAATACACAAATTGATGTACATTTAACTGCTAGCCACAGCACTCAGCACTGTATAGAGTGTGTGTGCATGCATATAGAAAAGAACTCTTCCTACATCGAGGAATCGTCCAATTTTTTGGCTTTGCGTCAATGATGAACTTTATGCCTCTTAAAGTTTCATCAAAATTTACTAAGAGCCACTGAGCCCCCAAAAGTGTGTAGGGTTCTTTAATATTTTGTTCAGGAAATCCATTTTTAATGTCGAGCAATGTCTCTGTATTCTTTTATTTACAAGCATGCATCAAGGTGAAGAAGTGTTTAATTTAAAGCAAGCAATACCTAATTTACTTTTTTGACCTACTTGGATCGAATATATTTTATTCCTTTATGAATGGATGTAGAAGCATTCACGCTCAACAATGTTTGAAACAGTGTAACAGTGATGTATGCGTTAAATCAGAAAAATTATCTGCCTTCGGAGAAACATTGTTGTTAAATCCACGAATGTCCTAGTATGTGCATCTGAGCTATGCTAACTCATTCTGCAAAATTTCTTAACCTAAAAATTCAACACTGAAAAAAAAAGTGAGGTTGATTTAACATTCTGGATACATACAAAGTGTGCGAGAAGTTATCAAACGCTGAATTACATCAGTTACAACATTACATCAGTTACTTTAGCAATGCCAAGATGTAAAACTAACTGCTATGGCGAGTAACTCAGCATTTTACAAGTTCTCGCATACTTCCTTTACATCAAGAATGTTAAATCAACTTCATTTTTGTTTCGGTGAATGTCTTACAGTTTTTCTAATAATGTGACATTCAAAGGCCAGTGCATCTTTCCTGCGATGATGTGGTCCCAGATCAATCAGATGTCTTGCAAAGATCCCCAGTAAATCTGTCTGAAGTTGTAAGATCTTGTTTCATGTTATCATAAATTTCAAACTGGAAGCTTTTCTGAAGGGCTCAAGAAAGAATATAAACTTATCTTATAGATTCGAAGATAAAGAAGATAAGTTTACTATGTCAAATTTTGCAAAGATATCATTGAAATACCGGCAGCACAATTTATACATTATCCCATTTATACGGATTATATTATTAAACTTGTCACAAGGGCGTTTTGATTGGTGTCCCCTTTTTGTAGAACAATCTTTCAAATTTTCATTTCAATATTGTTTTTTCTCTATTTATTTGTTTTAACATCAAAAGATTCAGTCGTGTAAATAACGGGAAAAGTTTTAGCTCTCTATTTTTCCAAGTATTTTTATAAACCTTATTCTTTTTCCAAAATTTTTTACTCAGCCTTTATGTTAAATTTTTTATCGATCAATTTTTCTGAGGGAGGAAGGAATGTCGCATAAGTGGCGGAAAAGAATGCCTACTTACCAAGATCGTTAACAGGTCTTTTTTTTCTTTTTGTTTAATGGAGATATTTAGACCATATGATACGTACATATTGCAAATGTTGGTTGTTTTTTTCCTCTGAAACTAAAAATTTGGCTGGTATTTTTGAGTGATGTCATTGAAGCACAATTTTGGTTTTAATTGCACCACTGATATGTTGTATGTTAAGTTTTGCCACTTGATGTATAATGTCATTCACTCTGGCGCAGCTCGAAGTTGTTCACTTCTTGTAAGTTCAACAAAAAGTTGAAGGTAAGTCAAGATCAAGTTGATGCAGGCAGAGAAAACTGCATTTAAATCTGAGGTCATGGAAAAATTGAAGGACAAGAAATGGTAAACAAAAAAATGTGCCTTTGCTGTGTAAGAATATAAAGCAATCTGAATTATGAGCATCCATGTTTTGAAAAAAAAAAGTATGCGATCAATGTTTTGAGGAAATTAAGGACATGGTTTTTGTACTAGAAGATGATAATGTCTTTTATGCCACTACGCTGAAAGCAAGAATGATCTCAACTAGCATCAATTTCAAATGTTTGATGAAAAAAATATTCCTGACGATTTGTTACTGTGCCAAGTAGCAGAAGTTAACATGCAACATGATAGATATCATATTGTTTCTGTATAATTTTTATACTGTTGGTAAGACAGAGTTCTATGCTAACTCTGGTGATTTAAGAGACTGACTTTCATTAAATAAGTGATTCATTAATCAAAAAGTAGTCTTCTGAAAATTTTGTGCCGTAAACGGAATGAATAACTTCAATCAAATATAAACTAGTTCCTTTTGGACTACTTAAAATCTAAGGTAAGCTTGCACATTAACTTTTAAAAACGAAATGACTCAGTTGGGTCTTTATTTTTTGTCCCTCCATTTGTTGTATGATACAGTCTTGTCAACCACGTAGGTTTTCAATGTAATCAACAGATTTGTATGGATATGAAAGGTCATTATGTACCTACTGACTGTATGTTATGCTCAAACTGAAAAGATTTCCTCTTTTCAATACTTCTAAAGAGATATTTTCAGTGTAATCATAAAATCTAGTTGTTAATGTAAATTACAAGAGTTCATTCTGTAATATTTGTGCCATATATTGTTACTTCCATTGAAACTTAAGGTTTACTTCACCCTCCAGCAAAGCCATTGTGAAATTCCGTGACCTTATCCTTTAGCATTGTTTAAGAAATCTGCGTAATTACCTAATGCATGCCCTCCATCAATGGTGCAAATACAAACAGAGCTGGATTTACACATGATAAAGTAGTTATAGTTCCTAGTCGTGAAAAATTTTTAGGGGTCATTGTCTGAAGGACAGGGAACTGGGCTTAACAAGTCGTACGTCCAGGGCAGGAAACTCATAATTCTCCCCTAGTTAGAATTTCTTAACAGTACATATATGTGACGAAAGTTCATTGATTCTGAGAAAACTAACCCACCATTTCTAATTAAATTTTCTGTGAATTTTCTTCATGCATTTAAAAAATCATACAATTGCAAGGAAATGTTTTGATTGGTTTTCCTTGAAGAAAACAAAAAAAATCGGATGTTTTTAAATTTTGCAATGGAGAAATACATTTGTCGCATTTGGCTGTTGATATTATAATCAGCTGTGGCATTTTAAAACTGTTTTGAATATTATTCTAGGCGCTCTTCAATGAATTTTGTTGTCAGGCTCTCCTTTTAAAACTATCAAATCAGAAACAAAAAGGTGATAGGTAGATTTTATGCTTATATCCTTGCATTGCAGAAAGATTAATCCAGCTCTAAGCAAAAAAACTTGTTGTATCTTGTTTGCCTTGTAGCATACCTCTCGTCAGAGTTCTAGTTCTTAGAAAGTTCCTTTTACTGCAAAAACTGATTGAGATGAATTGCTGAATTTTTAATTAGATCTCAAAAGACCATTCTCTCAAAATTTCAAGATTAATTGTGTTAAATTTTACTTCACTATCACGGAGAAAAATTTCAAACTTGGCATCCGTGATAAGCGTTTTCAAAGCTGTACCATTGATGAGTGGCCACTATCCTTAATTTTGTAAAACCAATCAGTTGGTTTTTTTGTATAAAAATAAAATTATATCAAGAGGAGAATTGTTCTGTGTTCAAAATAAAATGAAGGAAAGCTTCGTTGCAATCATCAGCATGCCTTCTTTAATGTGCAATACTGAAAATTGTTAATCTTCTATGCGAAGTCAGATCAGTGATTCATTTTCTATGTAGATTAGAAAAAAAAAAGCTAGGCTCATAAAAACCTGATACTTACTTAAATTGCATGCCAATACTATATCTCGAATTAAAATATCTTCGAGACTTCACAACAGTTTAGCAGCATCAAGTAAATGAACGATACCGAGGCAAAATGTTTCCTACCAGATTTGTGAAACTCAGAGTATCATTTTGCATGATACTAAAAGCGGGTTCTCTGCTTTGTTTGTAACTACTTATTGTCGGTTTCTCCCCAAGAGCATTTCGACAGTGTAAGTCGGCAATTACATAACTTTGTTTACGACGTCGCAGACTTCCTGTCATACCTACTTTATTTTTTAAACCGAAAACTACTCAACGGCAATTCTTTAAAACTGCCGTAATTTTTCTTCTCTGTGCGAAAAAAATTCTACAAAAACTTCAAGGAATGATGTCTATTTGTTCTTCTTTAAAAAAATAACATAAAAGCGGAGATTTTTAGACACCGCAAACGAGATATGTGATTGCCGACTTACACCGTCGATTTGTTTTTAGTTCTGTGCCAATAATATTCAAACTTTTACAATCTTGAAACAATGCACTGACTTTTCATCCCTTCACGGAAAGAAACTGTGATGCTTCGAAAATGTTGATGTGCTCTGCTAGAGTTTCCCTTAATAGCACAGGTAAACTGCCTGAAGCGCAAAAATAGGCGACAAAGTTAAGAAAAAGTCTTACTCCCTAAAAAGTAATGATTCAAATTCCTCATTCGCAATTTTAAGTGGCTCTCCCAGAGCGCATCACACCTATTAAATATGAATCGACCAAGTTACTTAACTTCCCTAGCGGATGTGTCAAATACAAGTTCTTTCAGACCATATCGTAATCATTGTTCACTAAGACAATTAACTGTTTTACTTAACTTACTGAGAATAAATTATTTTTTCTCCAAAGACAACTTACTTTATTTTGCTCTTTTTTCTGTCAGCCTTTTCATTGCCCATTTGCTTTCCAGGCATTTAAAATATCGCTTAGCGTATTGCCATGTTTAATGCATTAAGAGTATCTCACGGTTGGATTTTATGTCTTGATTGCAACACATACTGCAGAGGATCTTAAAGGTATTTGCCTTTGAAAAATACACTATAAGTTCTATTTCTTCGATCTAAACTTAAATGCCAAACTGATTGCGGTGAACGCACGGGTCGAAAGACAATGATGGAGTTTTTTAGCCATAGTGCGTAAAAAGTTCATCTCAAAGCTGATATCTCATTACAGAGGGAAAAAGCTCATACTTAAGCACAATTGGACTACATTTTGCAATTTGGAACTATAAATTCTAGCCTGGTTTAAAAACAACGTATGTGCCTTTAGTTTCCTTATGCACTTGAGTGTTTTTCTAGCAGAGCCAGAATTTACAGTTACAAATTGCAAAATGCAGTCCAATTAAGCAGCAGCAGTGCAGCTTGGTAGCCGAAAATTCAGGAGACTGCTCTGCACTGAGAATTGGCCCATCAAGGCCGAAGCGCGTCTGCAGTTGCCTTCCTGAATGGACGAAACAAGTGTTGCTCCAAACAGCATATCTCTTTGAGGGAAAATTGTGCTTGTGCGTGAGCTTTTTCCCTCCAAAATGAGATATCAGCTTTAAGCTGAACTTTTTACGCATGATGGCTAAAAAACTCCATCAACTTAAATGGGCGGTTTTAGGTGTAAATAGCTGGGCTGCATTTTACATTTTCCAATTTTCTCTTATGTCTCATTTTTTTGACAGAGAACTGAACTTTAAACTTGTGAATTTACCTTCCATTACAAAGAAAACACACTCGCAAAATTTCAAGTCTTAATGTTGCTTAGTTTTCAGTTTAAAAAATGAAATATCAGGAAATATTAGGTTAGTTGGATAACTATATGAGGACTTATGTGTAACAATAGTATATGTAGAGTTTTCACATTGCGAGGAAATTGCGTTTGAAGTTTTCGAAGCTTTACACTTTCTCGCTTGTAGAAATAAGAGGACTCTTATAAAGATTTTCATGAAGAGCAACTCTTCCTGTAAAAAACACACGTTTTACGATCAATGTAAATGATGTAAGTGAACGATCTATGTCAAAAATAACAGCGATTTGAAAAAAATGTGACATCCCCTATTTTTACTGAAAACACTTTTTTAAGCATGAAACAATGTCTTCAATAAGGGTAAGGCTGGTGAAACAACTGAAATGAACCAAAAGTATGTCAATGCTGAGTCATTTAATCAAATTGAACAAAACACTAAACCGTCTGTAACTGTTACATCAAAAATAAGGAACAAATTATAAAATCAGTTAAAAACTCATCAATTCTGGCAAAACGGTCCCGATACGTATCATTTGAAAGTCAGCTGCAGCCTGTGGCCGGTGCATGGGCAGTTATCACAAGTGCATTAGAATCTCCGCGATGTCCTGCCGCACCGGCTGGGGAGAACACTGAGAACAGTAGACTCTTATACCCGCTGCTTTTACAAATAACATGGTTTTCAGTTGAATCAGTGAGATCAAAAACACACCAACTCGGGTTTTTTTTCGATTTTCACTTTTTTACGGTTTAGTAACACTTATGGATAGAAGCATCTGCACGCAAAAGGAAATTTCGAAATTGCAATCAGAAGTGCTCGAAACAGCAATGGGAAAAGGGAAAAATCGAGGTATTTCATTAGAAATACCAATTTTTGGCCATTTCAAGGGAAACGGGTGACCATCCGATTTTGCGGTTTTCTTTTTTCGGTTCAGTACACCTTGTACCAACAAATTATATAAATATTCAAGCGTTATTCAGGTCGAAAAATATACATTTTTCAGAGCAGACTGTGAAAAATCAGTGCCTGAAAGTCAGTGTGAACGAAAACACACACACTCGGAAATTTTTAGATGCTTAATTCTCTGTCATCAAACATGGTGTATCGATTTCAACTTGGTGCTTTAAAAAGTCTCTAAGTACTTGTCCTTTGGCACCAAAAAGGTTTTTCTTAAACTAACTTCTTTGCCCGCTGCGCAGTTTTAGGTGTTTCATGAACAATTTCTTTATCCGAGTTGGTGTGTCACTGATTCAGTTCGTATCTCGCCGAAAAATTACGCTGGAAGTCTGAAACTTTGCACAGGCATTCTTAAGGGCTCCAGAATTCGAAAAAAGCGTTTGCCCTAAAAATGGCGGATGTCAGCGACCGCTATTGTTACATGTATGTCCTCATATCCAAAAAAGTGAATATAGTTAGGCCAACTCCAGTTAAGCCTGTTCAAACCGAGGTTAATTTATTGTTGAATTTCAAAAAAAATAAATGATACCGAGTCTGGTTGTGGTAATGGAATTTTTCTTGACTGTATTAGGAACAAATACCGAAAACACATAAGGACATACTAAACATGCTTACAGCACGTACAGGACCTTCTTAGCAAATAAAATTAGAAACCCGCATTTAAACTCCTCACATTATCAGGTAGGAGGGAATCTAAAAAAAGAAACAGTGGAACAGAATTGGCTTCTGTTAGGTTGAGATGGAGAGATATTTCAAAAATGATGGATAAAATTAAATACTGATGGATGGGTAAACTACTGTAGCGCTGTGATGAATCCTGAGAGCGGCTTAAAGAGATGAAATTTCAAAAAAATAAATACAGTAAAATCTCGCTGGTCAAATTGTCCAGGGGGTTTCAAATTGCTCCCTTCTCTTGATTTTTCACATATAAAATCGAATTTGTGGAGTTTTCTAAAAAAAATGTCTTCAATTCAAGCAACTTTTTCTCCGCGACAAAAGTCACGAATTTGTCTTAATCATACTTTAGTTACCTTACGCCTGTTGGCGGTGTCTAAAGGTTGAGAGGAATTTTGTCTTAACCGTATTTTGACTCTATGAGATTTCACTGTAATTTATGATTGGAATTTTTTTTCTATAATTATACCCATGATGAGTTTTTAATTTGAACTAGACATAAATAATTGACTGAATAAATACAATTCTTCTGTAACTAAACTCATAGTTAAAAGTATAGATTTGTACTAAATTCAAACTTAAAAAAAATTTGGCAATTAAGTATGATAAGATTTCAACATCAGTTGGCGTAATACAGGGTCATCCAGAAAATAAGTTTACCTATTCAATGTCTCCTGATCTAAGATGGACGGAGAAAATGTGTAAAAAGCGTTGAAAAGCCACTACTCTCAGTTTTTTATTGCACTATAGATTTTTAAATTTGGTCTAATAGAGCTCTAGAAATGAGGATTTTTCTAAACCCATCTCCTCTCGCGGGTCCGAAATTTCACAAAGCACCTTAATCAAATAAGCTGCTGTGTCTATTACTTATCGCAAGAAAAAGGGCTTAGAGATGGTTGAATTTCATGTAAAATATGGGGAGGCACATTTTTTTATCAGAAAATCGCAGGTTCATTCGATAATTAGTAGGTCTGGACTGCAGTGCGTGAAAAGGTTAGGCTACAATTGGTAGTTTCATGAAGTTGTGCTGCTGAATTTGGTTTTGGCATGTGAATTGCGCTCTATAATTCGATTTTTAACAAAAAAAGGTGGCAAAGGCTGCTCCAATTCAGGACATTTTACAGTAAAGATATTGTAAACGCTACATATTTATCAAAATGATACATCTTTGACAAATTTTTTTTGGGAGCGGGCGGAGTAATATGAAGGCCCATGAACAAAATTCAGTCAGAAAGTGACAGTTAATGCTGACAAGTTGGTCAACTTTTGTTCAAATACAACTGATTTTAAAGTAAACACGGTCACTCCTGCAAATTCCTAGCTGCTTAATGTTTCTTCCTCATGTTTTACATGATTTTCAGCCATCTCTAAACCACTTTTCTGTGATAAGCAACAGATACAGCACTTACAGCAACTCACGTGCTGATGGCGCTCTGTGAAATTTTGGACCCGCATGGAGAGAGGGTGGGTTCAGAAAAATCCACTTTACTAGAGATTTATAGAACCAAATTTAGAAATCTATAGCGCATTAGAAAGCTGAGAGTAGTGGCTTTTCAAAACTTTTTGCAGATTTTCTATGTCTATCTTAGTTTAGGAGATATTGAATAGGTAAACTTACTTTCTGGACGACCCTCCTAATTATGAAGAATATTAGGGAAACTAAGTGTCTTCATGTTTGTGCTTAGGTTAAGCTATTGCTTTAAGTAGACACGCAAGAAAGCTTAAAACTTTTAAGTAGAACATAGCTTGAGATAACCTTATTAATCTGTGAACAATCTCAAGAGTTTGATCGTGAATAAAATTTAGTTCGATAGGCGCAGCTGAGAGGCCACTATCAGATTTTCAAATTATGAAAAGAAAAAGCTTGAAGGTAAGAAAAAAAATCTGAGACGTACTTGGTAGTGAAATCCCTGATTTTACAGTATGAATCTTCCCTGAGAGTAAAAACAGAGACAGTTTTCTGTGAAAGTATGACGAGTTATCAATAGTTTTTCTTATTGGATCTATAAGTCTTTCCTGAGAGGTACCTAGCACCAACTGAGGTAAGAATATCGTTACTGCTCAATTCCTTCAAGTAAAAGTGAGCTACACCCAAGAGAAGTGAAATAAATAAAATAATAGATTCTACGATGACATAATGCGAAAGGGAGGTTCCAATTTCTTTCCAGCTTCCAACATTTTTCACCAAGAATAAGAAATGGAGCCCAAGCAAATCGCAAAAGATGAAAACCACCAGGAGTAGCTCGTTGATTGAATCCTAGAAATAAAACATCACATCAAAATTAGGATTGTATCGTTAGAAAAGCATTATTGGGAAAAAAGTCCTTGTTCCGAAAGACGTAGGTAACCCTTTTTTCAAGAGAGGTTTGAGGTTGAAATTTTACACTGCAGAGACTGTTAGGGTAACCTTCAGTGTGCGATTTAACTTAGGTAGGTTATGGTTTTTCATGACCAGAAAGTTATAATTATGCATCGAAAAACGGCACTATCTTAGTTGGAAGTTACTTTCAATCATTCTGGTTCTGCGAATCGTGTTTTAAATGGATTTTGATGAGAAAACATAAATATTTATGTATAATTCGCACCAGTGTTCGAAACTCACCTTGGAGTCTCAGGAGCCATAAGGCACATCAATCTCAACTTTTAGGGGCCAAATTGACTTTTTGCCTATGTATCTTGGTGCATTTAGTGACAAGTTAGACGCAAGGTGATTTAGTTACAGAACTATTAGCTGTTACTTGGGGAAATTTCGAAAAATCACCAAACAGAAAAACTAGGATTTTTTTTTGGGGGGGCGGGCAATTTAAAGGGGCCACGATGGCGCAGAGCCTTCATTTTTTAGGCGCCATGACCGATTTCTTAGGCGCATTTGGCGCGTTGGCGCCTGTGAGTTTCGAACACTGATTCACACCTTGTCTAATGGTCCATAGTAGCATTTTAGATACCTTAAAGGACCTCATTTCGGATTTTTTGGTGTCCAAAAGATCAAGTTATTTTTCATGCAGATGACTAAAGTGCGGAAAAATGTATGTACATTGAGGTGTTTCAAAATCTCTGCTCCAATTTTATTTATCAAAAAGAAACAAATTAACTATGTAGCTTGAAATTTTTACAGAATATTCTGCTGATGAAGAAAACAAATCTTGGAAGTTTTCAAGAAATTAATTTTCTTTCGGAAAAATAAAGTATAACAAGAAGTATACGACTTTGCAAATGGATATCGGTTTCACATTTTGGCCATCAAATACACTTGTATACTCTTCTTTTGACTTAAGTTACCTGTTATGAGTTTTAACATTTTGATAAAGTTTAGAACTTACATGGATTTTGATGTACAAGCAAAATACCGTTGCAACAACCAGAAGAAAGGGAATCAATAATTTCAGAAGGATTAGACTCATCATTGTGAATGGAGAGAACACAGAAATGAAACGTTGAACAGTTAGCAAGTCAAATGAGCTGACGGATGCTATATTTCCAGCACCAAAAAATGACATTAATAAGAACGTAAGCTGAACATAGAGTTAAGGATTTGCTATTAGAAAAATAATTTTTTTTAGATTCAAAATAATACGGAGTTAGATTCTACTGTATAGGGTCGATGATATGAAATGGTGGAAGGGCTGAATATTGAGAAATTGAGAAAAAAAACTTATATCATAAATTGATACTCTTGTTCTAAGCTTGAACCTATACAGATTGGATGATTTTGATTCAAACTAAGCTCACCTAGGCTAAAAATTAGCTTTTCATCTATACTATAAGCTCCAAGACCTCCTAATTTTGCGAAACTGGTGACGCTTAGTTCCAGCGTTCTACCGGGCCGATTTTCATGATTTTTGCGGCTATTGACGGGCAATTGTCTCTAGATAAGCCAACTCTTTTCAGATTTTGAAAACATGGCCCAGGTTTTTTTATATTACGTGGTAAAGTTGCGAATTCTCCCATATAAACAATGTAAATTTATGTGTTTTGTCATAGTTCGTTTGAGCATTCTACTGGGCCGATTTCCATGATTTTTGCGTAAATCGACAGGTAATAGGCTCTAGATGAGCCCGCT